TGCTCCTCTCCCTTTGTATAATAATAATAGTTTATAATAATACTTATATAAAGACCATCATAACAAGGCTCATGTAAGACACCGCTACACACCATCAGGTACGTAAATCGAGAATCCTTGTACCTGACATGGAAGTTCCGAGGAGAGTTGTTGGGTACTTGATATTTTCCTTGAAAATTTTTTCATCTCCTTCTTTTACCATAGCGAAGATTGTAAATGGTTGTAGCTAGTCGCAGTTCATCAGGTCCAAATCCCTGTATGCCGTCTTGCTCAATTTTTGACCGACACCAATGTTCTCGCCGTATATACGTGCACGCTATCAGTGTTACTAGAAACTACCACAAACCTGACTAGCTCAAGGACGACCTTCTCGAAGGAATGGAGATGTCAGGATGCAGCTAGCGGCATCAGCTGTTAAGAGCAGGGACTGCTATTAGAGCCGAGCCCGTGGAGTAACCATGAAAGTGACCTCCGGCCGGCAGCAGTAGACGGCTGACTTTCTCTTTTCCTTTCTCCCTCTGAATATAGTTTTGTACAATAAATATCTAACAATAGGTATCACGTAAGGCCTCGGGCAGAGCCTAGGCGATTTCATCGCCTCATGATTCTCCCAACAAGACGACTGACTGATTCATGCACGCTAATCAGGACAAGATTTACTTTTTATGTGTACAGACCACAACAAACGCAATAAGGTTACAAGTCACTATGCTTCATCAATTGCATGACAATACTTGCAATGACCATTGCACCACTGAAACGCATTGGTCGTCGAGGCCAAAAGCGGGTTTTGGTCTTGAGACATCTTTTTAGTTGAGGAGAACTAATCTGAAGAATTATTGTTATGTATATATCCGTGCTGATAACTGGTCCAGCTTTCTTACTCAACGTAAGATAATGACGTTGTTGCTAGCTGTATAGTCTATGAACACATCAACGTTGCCCATTGCATAACTTGAACGAGAAGTTTTCTTGGTTATAAAAACATCCCTCATACTATAAAATGGTTCTTGCATAATGTACGCAGCTACTGTCCTTCCATTGTTACTGCGACACTGGCATTGTTAGGATCCTACCATTCTTTGGTGAACTCGTTCATGATCTTGGGTAAGATTATTTTCTAAAAGTGGCTAATAGTTTGCCAATTTATAGCTGATATTCCAGGAATGTTCGCTTTACTGGTCTTTCTAGCAATGCTCGATGTTGCAGAAATGGCCAAAAACACTATCAGAGAAGAGGGAATTACTCCCATACCTTTAGACAGGATTAATCCTCGTACTAAAGGTAACTTCTCAGATTTTTGAATGAAAATTCTGCTGTACCAAACCAATTGAGAATTCCGACGTATGGACACCGACGGAGATGAAAGAGTTTCGTTTACCGAATTTCTTCTTGCCGATACTCGCTACATAGAAAAGCAATCAACCAAATTTCACAAATTGGATGAAAATGGTGAGCACTCTGCATTTTGGCGAAACAAGCTTATTAAAAGCAGTGCGCAGCATGCGTCTACACAGACTTGAAAAGTATTGGATTATTACTCTTTTTCTATAGCAAACTTATTTTTTT